GTGCCTAGGCTCGTTCCTCAGGTGCCCCACATATCCCCTGGGAGCCACCCCCACTCCCGTCCTGCCTGCTGGTGTCTAGGGCCTGCTGCTCTGGTGATAGCCAGGGTCTGGTGATTTGAACAATGTACGACTCCTTCAGCCCCCAGGGGCCTCCCCTCCTCTCCCCCCCCGCCTCCCCCCTCCCCTGCCACAGGGAAGCTGGTTCATCTTGGCCTCTGTCCCTGTCAGCTCCTGAGATGGTGAAGGGAGAACCCATCGGCTCTGCTACGGACATCTGGGGAGTAGGTGTGCTCACTTACATCATGTGAGTGCCCCCAGGACCCCTTCTGTCTATACCCCCTCCCCGGCACACACATGCACACACACACATACGCGCGCCCAGGTGTGGGTGGCCCTGTTCCTGAGTGCCATGCCCCTCAGAACCCTCACACTAATGTCCCCCTCGGCCTGTGAGTTGACCCTCAGTCTGCGTGTGTCAGCTGAACTGTCTCCACCACAGGCTCAGTGGGCGCTCCCCATTCTATGAGCCAGACCCCCAGGAAACGGAGGCTCGGATTGTGGGGGGCCGCTTTGATGCCTTCCAGCTGTACCCCAACACCTCCCAAAGTGCCACCCTCTTCCTGCGAAAGGTCCTCTCAGTCCATCCCTGGTGAGTGGGCCCCAAAACTGCCAACCCCCAGCACTACCTGCCCTGGCCCAGCCCCTGCCTAAGATCCCCCACCCCCACCCCTGCCCCCACTACCTCTACTAAATGGTGATACTTACCACCATGGAAAGCCTATCAGAGCCCTATGACGTAGGGAGAGTCACCATCCCCATTCCAGAGATTGGGAAACTGAGCCCCAGGGTTGCCCAAGATCACTGACTAGGAGTGAATCCAGGATGCAGACCCCGACCCATGGAAGGGCAGAGCTGCCCCTCCAGGCTCACGGTCCCTGGCTCGCCTGGCAGGAGCCGGCCCTCCCTGCAGGACTGCCTAGCTCACCCGTGGCTGCAGGACGCTTACCTGATGAAGCTGCGCCGCCAGACGCTCACCTTCACCACCAACCGGCTCAAGGAGTTCCTGGGCGAGCAGCGGCGCCGCCGGGCCGAGGCCGCCACCCGCCACAAGGTGCTGCTTCGCTCCTACCCGGGCAGCCCCTAGCGGCTCAGACCACAGCCCGGCCTCGGGCGTTGACTCGGGTTCCCGCTGACGCCGCGGGACATTCCAGGGCCCACGCGGAGCCGGGTGGGCCCGGGGCTTCGGACACCACCAGCAGCAACATCCGGCCGGGCTATTACCTCATGGACCTGCGGGGACAGAGGCCCCAGGCTTTGCTGATGTCACCCAGGCCAGAGCCAGAGTGGAGACCCGTTGGCCAGGCTGGGCGGGGTCAGGAGCAGGAAGAGGGGCAAGAAGGGAATGGGGAAGTGACAAGGAAAAGAAGCCGAAGGATATGGAGGGCGAGGCTCTAGGAAGGTTCTGGGGATGGGGCATGGTGCATCTGGGGCAGAACCAACCGAGGAGGGTGTGAGTGGCTGGAGAGAGGAAGAGGCAGGGGCCCAGGGTATCGGGGCCATGGGCTGGGAGTGAGTCCATGAAACGGACAGGACGTGGAGACAATGCCAGGGAGCCAGAGGCAGCATGTGAGCGAGGGCAGCGAGATGGGGGAGGGAGAGGAGAGAGGACTCAGGTGGGGCCGGTGGCGGGGGGGCAGCTGCCAGCATCCCCAGAAGGAGGAGTGTGGAAGGCAGGAGGCTGGAGGCAGTGGGCGCTCAGGCCGGCACTCTCCTCCTGTCCCAGTGGATGCAGCTGTGGGCACTCTGAGCTGGCCCAAGGATGTCCCCACCACCGCTCCGTGGCCTTCGCCCTTCTTCCCATTCGTATTTATTTATTTATTGACTTTTATGAAATTTCCCTTCCATCCAATCCCTATTGCCCATGTTGTCCTGACCATCCCCCCAGCCATCCAGCTGTCTGTGCAGCTGTCTGTCTGTCTGTCACAAGGAAAATAAAAACGGCAAGCAGCAGGACCTATGTGTGATCTATGGGGAGGGATGGCTGGAGGTCCTGGGGGTGCTGGGACGGGGCATTCCAGCCTTGTCTGGGCCAGTGAGAGCCAAGGCATACCAGCTAGCCCCTTGGGATCTTCCTCCCCTCCCCTAGCCCTGTGGGCCTCACTTTTTCCTTAGTCCTGGAGGGAGGAGAGACTTCGGTCTGCTTCTCCTTGTGAAGTGTCTGGAATCCCCGCAGGACCACCAAATCCCCACCACCACCCTCTACCCAGACTCTGGTGGTCTCCACCTCTTCTCACATGTTCCGTTATCACAAGTTGGAGGATGCTGGGCTCTAGAATGGATCAGCCCACACCCCAATCCTGGCTCAGCCTCCTTGACTCTGCCCAGGAGACGGGCTAGCCCTGGTCCTGACCCCTGGAGCGGGGTGCGGTGCGGGGGGGGAGTTTCATCATAATGATTGGCGAGAGCAGGTGGTATGAAGAGCTGCGGAGGAAACCAGGACATGCCCATGCCCCGTGCTCTCAGTGTAAGGTATGCAGGCACCAGCGGCACAGGGCAGCTGCCAGTGCTCTGCTCAGCGTGTCTGCTGTGGTGTCGCCACAGACGAGCGTTTTTCTAGGGCCCAGGAACACTCAGCCTGGACCTTCTTGTCCCCACAGCAAGCTAGGGGGTCTGCTGAATGCTAAGGCACCTTGACTCTAGCTGTCCCCCTGTGGTGCCACAGAGTGGCCACTAGGTCCTAGAACTGAGCTGCCCTGGCCTGAGGTGGGGGAGGGGAGAACCAGTTCTCCTTGTATCCAGAGGGACTGTCCCCCCCAGACTATGCCCCTTCCCACCTGGAAAACTCTGTTCTTGGCAAAATGAAAGGAATACAGCCTTCCCCCGTGATCAGAAAGAGGTGGCGCTGGTGTGTTGCTGATTGAGGTTGGGGGCCCCTTGGCTGTAGCCCAAACACCCCTTTGCCCAGCCCAGCCCAGCCTCTCTGGCTTCTCAGGACCCCAGGGAAGAGGCAAGCCCCATCACCATAAAATAACAGGATGTTACAGCCAGCTGGAAGGGACCAGAGAGACACCTTGCCCACCTGTCATTTTAGCGATGAAGATATACAGTTCGCCTGTGAGAATCTCTAATCCTCTACTCCCTGCGAGTGTTTTCATAAAAATGAGGTGCCTGAACTCATATCTTGATAAATGGTAAAATTCCTCTCCCGTTCCCCTCTGATCTTGAGTTCCCTTCCCATCTCCATTGGAAATGGCATGTGAACTGCTGGTTCCAAACCCGGAGGAGCAAAGGTGATTTATGTCAGCAGAGCTGTGTCAGAATTGCTCTGATCGAAAGATGACAGTGCTCCACAGCTGGGCGGGCGGTTACAACGAATGGAAGCAATGCGCTACCTGGTGCCCTGGCCTGGGCAGACTGGACTTCAGGCAAGTCCCAGGGAGTTAACTGAACCCATTCACCCCAGGTAGTCTGATGCCCCTGTGCACCAGTTTATGCCCCAAAAGGGGCTTGGGTTGACCTAGAGTTGGGGAGTCAGTATTGGTGCCAGTCTCCAGGGACAGTGCAGCCCAGCCAGACCCTATCATGTCCCATGGAGGGGAGTGAGTGGGGGTGGGGTGGCAGGAGGGGATGCTGTTCTCAAAAATCTTTACCATCCCCTCTAGGTTTATCCCAGTTTACTGCCAGGGGGCACAGTGCAGAAATGACAACCCTAGACTCCTGGGGCTGGGGGAGAAATGCGCTTCTGGATTGGTCCTGACAGAGAGGTTGCCCTCTCGGAATTGGCTGGACAGACGGTGAAGTCCACTGCTACTCTGGCTTCATTCAGGGACACCCCCACAAACACTTGCAGCCCTTAACTGCCGGTGTCCTAGGAGGGGCACATTGTCCAGCTGTCTGGGGATTGACCTGAGTGTAAAGCTGCTCCAGCAGGAAGCCTGGGGTCATGTCTGGTCCTCCCAGGAGTGGGATGGATACCCCCTGCGCCGGGAGGGGATGGGGCCGCTTCCAGCTGCCCAGCTGTCCCGGTGCTGACGCGAGGTGCACCCTAGAGCAGCTGGGGTTTCCCCTTCGAGCCTGCCCCAGTGGCTGAGCCAGCATCCCAGATGGCCTCGGGCTAAGTAGGGAGCTCGCTTAGGTCAGAGGGTGGGGGCTGGGGTCCCCGGGGGGCTTGGGGCAGCCACGCCAAACAAGGCAAAGAGGAGAGCATAGTATTAAACCAGGTCCCGGGGCTGAGCACCTGCCCACACCCCTACTGTGCCATCGGAAGGGCTCTGTGCCACCTGCTACCCAGCTAGTCCACCCAAGTCCTGAAGTCGACCCCCCATGGTGAGTCCTGATCCTCAGATCATCCTCAGACACTCCCGTTCCTGAGATGTTCTGAATCAGCAGGGAAAAGTCTAAAGGCCGAGTCTCTGTGTCAGCCTAGACTCTCTTTTATGTTTATTTTGTGCTCCCCAGATGTCCAAAGCTGCTCCCCCCAAAAAACCAGCGGCTGTGGCCCGGCCTCTGGGATGTACCCTGAATATCAATGACCCTCAGGTCCAGAAAGCAACCATTCGCATCCAGGCCTTTTACAGGGGCCACAGGTGAGAGAAAGCCCTGGAGCCCTCAGGAGGAAGGGAGCTGCAGAAAATGCATTCCTGCATCGGGAAGAGGTGCTGAGCACAGTGTCATGGACCCCCAGGGTCACTGGACTTAGGGGAGAGTGATTACTGAAGTGTGGAAGGGTGGGCCACAAGAGAAAATCATTTTGTCAGGGTAACAATTCAGGAGCAGCCCCCCTCCCTACTCACCCCCACGTTCTAGTGGGCCGAGGCGGTGGGCAGGAGACCGTGTGTGCGGGCGGACAGGGCTGCAGGCTGGCTGGAGCAGTGTCGTGGGAGCTCTGGGCCCTGACTCGGCTTGGGGTAGGTCCCCGAAGGAGCTGCGCGAGAACGGGCCGCAGCGAGTGCTGGAGCCGCTGAAGGCCGTGGTGCTGATCGAGGGCAGCGCAGCCAAGCTGACTTGCCACATTTCCCGGACCCATTCATCCGCCAGAGCAAGGACGGCAAGGAGCTGCGCGACGGGCCCAAGTATCCTTACGTCTTCCAGGACCCCGACGTCGTGGCACTGGTGGTGCGCGATGGCGAGCTGGCAGACCTGGGCCAGTACAGCATCAACGTAACCAACACTTTCGGCCAGTGCTCGGACTCGGCGCGCATCCTCGTGGAAGGTACGCGCGCCCCGCTGCAGTGCCACTGCGCAGAGCGGCACCACCCCACGGGGGCCCGCAGCTGGGTCCAGCCGCGCGCGTTTTCCGCTGGGCCTAGCCTAGTCCGGATGGGATGGGGGCGAGGCCAGCCCCGGGCACAGCCTGGGGCGCAGCGCCCTGCGGGCTGGGCAGTCCTTCCCTACCTCAGGATCCCCTCCCACCCAGATCGAGAAGTCCGCAGTGGGCTTCAATCACTTGATTCCAGGGCCCCAAGGTCACAGCGAGCCAGAGGCAGAGCCAGGGTTAGAGTCCTGGTCGGCTCCCAACCCAGAGCAATTTCCACTCCCCGGAGCTGTCTCCAAGGCACCGCGAGATGTGTGAACATTCCCGGGCTTTCACCTGTAGTATCTCTTTTAATGCTCCATTCAACCCTGCGAAGTGGGAGGGGCAGCTATTAGTCCCGTTATACCTGAGGAGACGAAGCCCCAGAGAGGCTACGGACTTGCCCAACGTCACCCTGCGAGTTGAAATGCATCTCGCATTTAGCTGGGGAGGCGACGTCCCAGGACCGCCGCGCCTCTAGGTCCCTCACTGGGGCGCGTTTCCTTTCCCTGCCTCTAGTCCCCGCGAAGATTCAGAAGGGACCGGATAACACTAAGGCGCGCAAAGGCACCACGGTGACGCTGACTGCGGCGATCTTGGGCGAACCTGCGCCCGACGTGGGCTGGAGCAAGGACGGGGAGGACATCGAGGAGGACGACAGGCGAGGGCGGGGACCTGCCGCGAAGGCAGGGCCTGGAGCTGGAGCCTGGGCGGGACGGGGCCCAGAAACCGGGCGGGCGTGGGACGGGGGCGGGGAACTGGGAGGCGGGAACAGAGCTGGCTAATGAGCCTGGCCCAGGGCGCAGTAAACCGAGCCGCGCCCCCCCACCCAGGGTGTTCTTCGACGTCAGCAGTACCACCACCACCCTGACCATTCACCGGGCCACGCCCAAGGACAGCGTGTACGAGGTATATGTGGAGAACAGCCTGGGCATGGACCAGAGCTTGGCATGGACGTGGCCTGAAAGGGACCCTCAGATCTTTCGCCCTGGCTCCCAGCCCGGGCGTAGATGGGATCGACAACCCTCCTTAATAAATCTTGCTTAATGAAGCTTCTCTCTCTGACCCTCCGCGTCCATTCTGTTCCTTTGCGATGCCATTTCCTCTCCTCCGCATCCACACCCACACTTACTCCAGACCCACACACCCAGGTCACAGTGTGGGGTGAGAATGTTTGCAGAGTGGCTAGTCTAGTGCTTCATTTTGCAGACAGTAAATCTGAGATAGGCTTTCCGTGACGGTCGGAAGTTCCTTCTCTTCCAGGCGGGACCGCCAGAAGAGTCTGTGACTTCGCCTTCTCTTCTCTTTTATATCTCAAGCCCCACCCTCTGGTGGCGGGGGTCTGCGCCCTGGCCCCGCCCATTTCAAGGCTGGCCACACCTCCTCTCGTCTCAAGCCCGGCTTCTGCCTGTGACCTAGTTCTCTACTTTGGCTCCTACCCCCGGGCCCATTCCCAGACAGCTCGGAGTCCTAATCTTAGGGTCCAGTCTCTGTTCCTCAGGCCCCACCCTCCTCATTTAGGCCCGCCCCTTCTATCCCTTGGCCACGCCCCCGTGTTCTCCCACCACTCTCCTCTCATAGAAGTGAGGGAAGCGCTTAAGAACTACAATTCCCGGCATACACTGCGAAGGAGTTCTCGCGAGGTGCGAGAAGACACGTGCGCGGAAGGAGCAAGCACTAGCGGAGGGCAGAGCCGGCGTAAAGGGAGCTAGTG